AAATCAGTCATTAAAATTTGCTACTTTGTAATCTACTAACAAGCCTTCAAGTATTTTATACACCAACTCAATAGATGCATAAAAGACATTGGAAATAATCAGCATCATTCATAATTTTTGAATCCAAAATCTTAAAAAATAAATGTAGCTAATGAAGTAACCTAAGTATACTCTTTCGGTCTCCTCCTCATTTTAACCTGACAAAATGTAATATATATGTTTATACTTCTCTCTCATATATATGTAAATGTAATATTTCTTTTTATTAGTTAATAAATTAAGAAGGGCAGGATTTACATATATAATAGCATCAAAACTCTGTACACAAATTACATTTAACAATGTGAAATGAATTATAAAACGAGTGAAATTTTTTTTCATAGTGATCCTCCTGTTCTCAGCCTCCCCAGTGCTGGGATTATAGGCATCCACCACATGGGCTCAGCATACCTTGGGGGAGGGGGCCATCACAGCATGGGGGACCAGGGATTGAACCTTGGTCCCTGCACTTACCAAAGCAGGTGCTTAGTCCGCTGAGCTATCTTGCTGGCCCTTTGAGTGAAAATTATTAAAGAATATTTAAAACATTAGGTTTGGCAAATTCATGGACTGGACAACTCAGTATAGCAAAGGTTTAAGTCTTTTCAACTTTACCTGTAGTCTAATTTGCAGCAATTGAGGGCTCAGCAGATTAAAGTGCCTGCAAGCTGGAATTCGATGCCCCGCCTGCAGTGCCAGACCCACCTCCCCCCCATCCCCAGGCCACACTGAGATGGTGATTGATATTGGGGATGGTGGCACGCGCCTGTAATCCCAGCTCTAGGGAGGCTGTAAACAGGAGGATCACTACGAGTCCAACCTAGTAGTGAGACCCTGAACACCCTGTAGACCCTTCCCTAAAATAAAAAAAACAAAAACAAAAACAAAACCCAAAACCCTAATTTGCAGCAATCAAAACTCCAATGCCTTTGGAAATTGATAACTTCTTCTCAGGGTGTCAAGGGCCAGAAAGACGAAGGAAACTTCCAGAAGCAGAGAAGGAAAAGGGCTTGCGCTCCTGGACAACAGAGTTTACAGAGAGCAACAATGACACAGATAGTGTGGTGCTGGCTCAGGGAGACACATAGTACACAGAGCTCTGCAACACACTTGCGTGTGGGTTCTTAGTACCAAACTAGAATGCAGGCTACTAGGGGAGCACAGACTTTCTGAGGTGCTATGGGTAAACTTACCCAAAAATTCATGCAATTAACAGAGCAGATGTGAAGGGAAAAGTATACAGAAGAAAACTGCATTATTTCAAACTAGAGAAACATTTTAAAAACAAGAAATGAAAATCAACAAACTTCAATGATGGTGTTAATAAATTTGAGAAGAATCCTTGAAGACCTCTTTAAAACTATAAAGTATGAAAAGATAAACCACATAATGTTAGATGATATTTGTAAAACACATTAGCTAACTCTACAAAGATTATATCCAGACTATATAAAGAATTTATACAAAAATAAATTAGAAAAAAATCCAACCTAACAGAAAAATGGGTACAAAACTTAAACAGGTATCGCTGTAGAGGTCCTCTACCTCATTAGGAAAAAGTGAGGTCAAACTAAAACCCCAATGAGACTTCGCTACATATTTCAGGGTCTCTGTTTGAAGCAAACTGTCCCATTCCCAATCTTAGTCCTCAGAGTTTTTTTTTTTTCTGTGATGGTTGTTGTGCTTTGATTTTTGGTTTTATTCTCAGACAGGGTCTTGCTATATAGTTTAGGCTGGTCTAGAAGTCACTTACAGGCCAGACTGGTCTCAAACTCACAGTGACTCTCCTGCCTCAGCCTTCTTTTTACTGAGATTAGTTTTGCAGGAGGGAACCACCACACCTGGCAGCTATCAATTTTTATTTTGCCCATTTTGAGTATTTGTGGGTATGTTAGTCAAGTCCATTTACATTTTCCTTTTCTATGCCCTCTAGATTGATTTAAAAAAAGTCACGTATGGGCTGGGAATATAACTCAGTGGCATAAGCGCCTGCCTAGCAATAGCAAGTACAATGTCTTGAGTTTGACTCTCAGTGAAAGAAAGAAAGAAAGAAAGAAAGAAAGAAAGAAAGAAAGAAAGAAGAAAGAAAGAAAGAAAAAAGAAAGAAAGAAAGAAAGAAAGAAAGAAAGAAAGAAAGAAAGAGCAAGCAAGCAAGCTAAAAAAGCTAACAACATAGCCAGATGTGGTGGTGCATGCCTATAATCCCAGTCCTCAAGAGGCTGAGACAGGAGGATCGGTGTGAGTGTGAGACCAGTCTGGGCTACAAAGTGAGCTCAAGGTCAACCTTAACTGCATAGGGAGACCCTGTCTCAAAAAAGACAAAAAAAGAGTCATCTAATAGCTGAGCATGGTGGCACATCCCTGTGCTCTCAGCTACTTGGGAGGCTGAGGCAGGAGACTCACAAACTGGAGGTCAACCCGGGCCCTTTAGTGAGAATGTGTCTCAAAATCAATCAATCAATCAATCAATCAATCAATCAATCAATCTGGGGGGGAGAAAAGGTCTGCAAATGTAACTTGATGTCAGACCACCTGTAGTGCAAAAATATTAAAGTGTTTTTTTGAATTCATTCTTTATTAGAAATGATGTCTTAGAGCATGTGTGCTTTACCTGGTTCCTTCTAGCTGCTTAAAAGGACTTCCTCGCTCTGGTGAACACTGTTGTGACATTACTGGCTGGTGGATGGGGTTGGGGTGCTGACCCTTGCCTCCTTTTTGCTACTGGCGCCTTTGCAGGGTCCCATGTGAGACAGCTACAGAAGTAGTAGCGGCATCAGAGCTCCCAAGGCTCCTGAAGAATGCTGTGTAATCTGCCACTGCCCACGCTCTGGGAAGTACCCCAAAGTAAGGAGTGGGAGCACATGGACTTTTGCCCCACTGCTGCAGTGGCTTGAGCCTGTAAGTGTATGAAGCAGACTTCCTTAGTTACACATATCACAAAAGGATCAAAACCTTTTCTCCGTTAGCCTCCCTTGCATTTCAGCCACCACTCTTGTGATAGATTTCACCAGCACCAAAAATCTAGATCTTGGCTGGAGTTGGCTACATTATTCAGAAAAATATCTAATTTGGGTTCCTTTTAAGTAGAGTAGTCCTATTCCCCAAGCCAAGCCAAAGAGGGCCATCTCCATGGATGCTGAGACTCAACCCAAGCATCACCTCTGCCCTCAGAAAACATCACACAAAGTGCACACAATACCTGCTGAGCGCGCTGCATTCACTCACACAGGGACAGGTCACAGGGGCCTCCGCAGCTTGTCCCAGGTTGGGTCCCACTCTGGCTTGCCACATCCCTAAGGATATGAGTGGGCCTCTGTTGCAGTCATGCTCTCTCCATTCACAGATCCAGCCGGGGAAGTCTGGTCCTTCCAACCAGGCTCATCTACCCCCACTGCCACCTGACTTCAACTCCCTCCCTCAGAGGGCAGGTAGTTTACCACAATGCCAACCAACCTTGTCCCAGGACACCCACACCGGCTTGCTCTCTCTCATCTGGAGCCTCCTCCTTCTTCACCCCTTCCTTTCACTGTCCTTCAGTTTGACAGCATCACTCACCATGTTCTCCATATGACAGCTGATCTAAGACTCTAAAATGGCATGCACTGGGATGGTGAGGGCTGAGTCCACCACATGTTTGGAGTATCTAATGTGTACATTCTGGGTGGGGGATTGTTATATGTACATAATGCATCCTAACTCCCTTTTCCCCATCCCTTCCCTTCCCTGCCTCCCCTCTCTGCCTATCTCTAGATCTTCTCCTTTGTCTACACATCCCTACAACCAGCACAGATCCTTTCAGAGAGAAGCCAATTTGGACAACAAAAGAAGCAGGGAACTCAAGTTCTCATTTGTGATGGTTTATTTCCTTCCACATTCTCAAAAGCTAAACAAATCCAAGTTCTTATCTTTTAAATACATTAAAATACTAAATGAAGTAAGAAAACAGGGAAATCGAACCTTTTTTAACTTTTCTTCACCATGTTATGATCCCAACTATTTCACTGTGGGGTTCTCTTACATTTTGAAAGCACATGTCTTTTCCAATGCTGTTTTCTTGTGCTGAGTAACAATAAAAGATGTTAGGCCTTTTAATTTGCTTCACAATATAGTAAACTTAGTAAACAGAAATAAGCTATCCATTTCTTCCATAAACTTAGATTCTAAATCTAAATAAACTCTTTAAAATGAATGCAATGGAAAAAAGACAAAAAAGACGTAAAGCTAAAGTACTTATGAATAACAGAAACACAAAGAAAATACTCATTGCGGTCTACCAAAGCCCCACCTTGCTCCCCATTGCTTAGCAGTGAGAACTGCCTCAAGGAGCACTACTGCTGGGAGGGTTTGCGGCCTCTCGCCTCAGCTGCAAGAGCTCTGCTAGCTCTGGCTGCACTTCTGGCTTGGGCTTGCTCTTCCTCTTCTTTCAGCGCTTCTTCATAGAGGTCTGTGTAGCTGCTGGGATCCGTATTGCTGAGCTTGGCCAAAAACTTCAGGACTTGCATCTTGCTGGTTTCAGCATAGGCTCTGGGACCCCACAGGAATTCATAGCGGGGAGGAGTGCTACCCGCCACCTGGCGGTACACCACATACCCTTCTCGCACCAGATCTTTGGTGATGAACTTTCTGGGATTCCCAAAGATGAAGTGCTCCTTGCCATCAAACACCCCCAACATACCCAGGAATTGCCACACATCCTGCTCGGCAGCATTGTTGCCATTTATGAAGATCACACCCAGGAGCGGCATCAGGAGCCCATTCTTGGGGAAGCTCCAACCTTCACTCACACTTTCCTGGCTAGAAAGACCCAGCTTGGTGACGAGGACATACGAGTGACCAGAGGGGCCAATTTCCTTCAGGTCGAGGCCAAAGATCAGCTCTGTGCGCTCAATGGCTTTCTGGAGGATTTCAGGGAAGTGCTTCTTATACTTTCTGTTGATGACCTTCAGCATATCTGCCTTAAAAATGATCTCTTTCGTCTTGTACTTGTACAGCAGGTAGTGCACCAGCATGTTCACCATCCGGTTCAGAGGATCTTGTGTGGCCTGTTCCAGGACGAACAATCTGGAGACATCTGGCCTTTGCTTCTCTGGGCACTTGACACCTTTATCTGAGCTCACAGCTGCAGCAAGAGAGCTGGTGGCTTGGGCTCTCTGTGGCCCCTGGGGACCTCCCACAGCACCGGGGCCGGGGTTAGTGCTCTGAAGACCAGCAGCAGAGGATGAGGGTGATTTTTCTTTTTCTGATGCAGGATCTTGAGCACCTTGGGAACCCTGGTTTTGCTCTCGGGCCTGGCGGCGTTTCTCACGGGCTCGGAGCTTACTCTTCTGACCTCGAGGCATGTTGACTGTGCTCAGGGACAGCAGGAGGGACTGCAGCAGAAGGGCAAGGCCGTAGGCACCTGCAGGTGGAGGACAAGAGGGAGGGCGTGAGTCCCTTGCTTTAAGAAGGCCCATGTGAGATGTACATTTTGCAGTTGGGAAAGAAACCTAGTGATGGTGGGAGAGGGGAATGGGTAGTAACAAGGACTGAGATGTGATTTGTATATGTCCCAGCTCATGATGAATGTTTTCACTGTGTATGACAAATATGTACAAGTAAGACAAAAAAAAGACCCCTGTGCAGGCATCCTTGAGAGCCCTGCTCTAGGATGCCAGAAAGCTCCTTTTCTCCTGATTAGCCAGCCCTCTGTAGACCCTGCAGAGGGGTGACAGTGTGCCTGAAACTGTAACCCAGCCCCACCTTGGGCCAGTGTTCCCAGATCAAAACCCTCATTTCACTGTTTTCCCTGAAGAGGATCTGAGGGAGCTTCAGCCTGACACCTATGCCTGGGGGGCCCTCTCAGCTACAACAGGAAAAGATTTGGTGGAGCCTCTGCTAATATAACACAAGTGGTCCCCATACTTTTCTGGGTCCTGGCTCCTCTGTTCATCTAAGGCCTCTCCCTTGATGTGAAGGTCCACCACTTCCTGACAACCGCACCATCCCACAAGATGAAGGCAACACAGATTACCTCTGACCCACTGACCACCATGCTCATGGGCTGCTTGGATTGGCAGCATGATCCAAGAGTCCAGATAGTCCTGTTAGTCCTCAGTCATGGAGGTAATGGGACTTGGCTCTTAGCCCACCTGAGTTCTCCAGCCTCAGACTGTGGCTCTCACAATCCTCTCATGTCCCTCAGCTTGAGCTGAAGCAGTGCCCTGGAACCTAAAGTTCTCTGCCTCCCTGAAATCCCAGAGAGGGGACTCCCAGATGTCACAGGAGTAGACTCCACATGGCTACTTCTAGGTGGGAGGAGTACCCTCATTTTATGCAGTGTTCTCACCTTCACCCTTCTTAAGCACTAAATCTCCTGCCTCTGGTGAATGAAGTCTCATTCATTAGTGTAATGAATCCATCTTTCTGAGATACCACCTCAGTAAATGAGGGATCACCTCATCCTAACAGCTCTGCCTCATCCTACTGTGGGCTTCTAGGGGCCCACAGTAGAGGTGAGACTATGGTGCTTTCTCTATTGTTCACTGGTTGTTTTCCTCCTTCTTCATTTAAGATCTTTATATTTATTCCCCAAAGAGACTAAGACTGATTTCTCTGCTGAACAGGCACAGCCAGTCCTTAAACCAAGGTCCGTATCTACTGAAATCCTCAGGCTAAAGTGAGGGGGTACCTGAACCTGTCAGGCTGGACCTCCTAGGCCTAACCCAAGGGGTAGAGCTCAGTTCAGCTCTCTCCACTGGAAACTAAAAATCCTTATTTTCTAGATTAAGACTTTCACCTTGGTACCTGACAGGTCCTGGGACTCTGTCCTCAACTGGCCTAAGCTCATGTTCCTCATACCAAGGTCCTTGCTTCAACAGGAGCTTAAGTGTTGGAAGCTTGAACTAAAGCACACCCTGTCAAGAATAATAGGAGCTGCAACACCACACAGCAGGGAGGGGCTCTATGGGACGCCACTGCTCTCTACCTTGACTCAGGGAAAATACTCCACCTCCTCACTCCTAGAACCCCAGTTTGTCAGGTCCAAATGAAAACCACCTCTCCAGAGCTGCTGAGGGAAAGTCTCGGCACACTACTTCTGACTTTGTCTGTCAGAGATCTTGATAGCCGGAGCCTGGCTCTAGTTGCCCCACCCCACTTTATTTTTTTTTTTACCTCGTTTGAGATTGGGTCTTGTTATGTAGCCCCCGGGGTGGCCGCAAACTTGCAGCAATCCTCCCCCTTCCTCAGCCTCTTGGGTGCTGGGATGACAAGCATGTGCCGCCACACCTCGCCTCGGCTCCCTCTTTTGAGAAGTCCCGTTAGCATCCAGGGTTCTTTCTCCTGTCAGGACCTTAGGTCTCTTTCCCTCTTAGCCGAACCAGGCCTAAACCTTTATACAAAATTTTACTCTCAGAATTCTTGTAGCCCGAAGTTAAAGCCAGTTTCCCCAGGGTCTGCTGTGAGAATAGCGGCAGAGACAGCGGCAGCGGCAACGGCAGCGGTAACGGCAGCCATGTTGTTGGCAGTTGGGGCACGAGGGGGGAGGGGACTTGGGGAGGGATGGCAGCATGGTAGCGCGAGCCCCAAACCACACCCCTGGCCATGTGAGACATAATCGTTTTGGTCCATACTCATCACCATTACCTTGACACCCAACCAGTCCTGAAAGTCTCCTGTCACGGACTTGAGGTCCCAGCTCTTAGATGTATGTCCGCACTGGCCAGTGATTTCAAGATGGAAGGACACAAGTGAGCTACATCCGGGCAAAGTGTGGGTCACTGGTAGGGACCTACGGTGCCCCACACGTGTCAGTCCGGTCTTGGAATTCTGCCTTACACGGAGTCACTACAGTGGAAGCTTGTTCTCACCACATGTGACCACCCCTGCCTAGAGTTTCTAGATCTGGCAGGATATGAGGAATTCCCATTGGACCCTTCTTTTGGAAAATAAGGCCCTAAGTTAATGCTCAAACTCTCCTTAGGCCTACAGTTAGGGCCCAGGTTTTCTCCTGCAAAACTGGTTCTGTCACATATAGATCAAGGCTGTCTCCTCCAGAATGTTATTTATTTATTTATTTATTTATTTATTTATTTATTTATTTTACTGAGAATCAAACTCAGGACCTTGCACTTGCCAAACAGGTGCTTGTCCCTCTGAACTAGATCACTGTCCCCACAAATGCGTTTTTGGGTGCTAACCCAGGGCAGGACTTTGTAGGATTCCCTTCTTTAAGGATGGGATAGCTCCTTCAGCCCACATCCAGGATTGTTACTTTGTTACCTCAGCAGCCCTAAAATTGCACTGACTTAATGTTGCACCCCCTGAGGTACTGACCTTCTCAAAATTTGCAAAACAGAGATCAAAGCTGTACCTGACCAAGACTTCAGAGACTCCCAGGACATTCTGCAGGATTTGAACTCTATGGCACTCCACACAGCCCCATTATCCACACCCTGTATGTTTCTCTCTATAGAGCTCAGACCACCAACCTCAACCGTCTATGCCTCCTTAGATGGGGACTTCAAGGGACACTGCAACTGACTACCCTTGTCTAGGACTTCCAATTGTGATGATGGCGGGTAGGGTTCTGGTTTACTCTTTCTTTGGAGAGAGACACCCTCTAATTCATCCTCAGGATCTTCACTTGCTCTGATTACAGTATATGTCTCCTTTAGCTGAACTCTTTGATAGTCACTCTCCTCCTTATACCTCCAGGAAGAAATAAGGAGCAATTTTCTGCATGTTGTAGGACTAAAACCAACCTGTTGGGAACATGTGACCTCATCTTCTAGTGATGGTTCTCCCATATCTCTCAGGTTACCTACCTTGATTCCCACCACCTATTGAGGCTGCACTTTGTACCCAGATTGGAGAATATCCCCTTTAGACAGAAAACCTCCTCTCTTTGAAAGCTTCTAGACAAAAGAAGGATCTCTCAACCTGACAATTCTGCCTCAATTTTCTAGATCACATGGGTACAGGATTCAAATGGGCTGGGGAGAATACTAGTTCATGGTGCTCAGAGGAAGGTGGTTCTCTGCTTCCCTAAGATTTTGCACCTTGATATCTCACTGGTCTTGAGACTCTTCCCTCAGTAGACCTGAACTGATCACCTCAGATTTAAGTCATAACATGAGTTAAATCCAGCCCAGATGTCTCAGACCTCCAAGGGTTAATAGGGTTAGCAGCAGCAGAGGGCAGAGGGTCTACAGAATCTCACTCTGATGGCCGGGTTTGCCCCCTATTCATCCCCTGGAATTATCACTTTGATATCTATTAGATGTTCACAGTCCTTCCTCTGCTGAAGTGGGTTTGACCTTCTTAGATCAAGTCTCTCATGTTTCTGAGAATAATTAGGATGCTTGGTCTCATAGCTGTGCCTGTAGCTATCAGCATCTGAAAAAAGCAACAATCTGGTGCCTGGAACCCCCTGTGTTCTCAGATGTTGTCTCTCTTCTCTTCCTATGCAGGGCCCCACATCTTGGTTCTTGTCCCATTGATTAAAAGCTTCCTAGGAAATGTCATATGCCTGCAAACTCATGAGCAGTTTCCTAGCCACAAATATTGCATGGTGGCAGATGAAGAAATTGTATCCCAAGGCAGGAGGCCCAGCACAGGCAATAGCCTGTCAAGGCCAGCTGATCTGGTCCTTGTCACCAGCCAGTCTTCACCTCGCTGTAACTTCTATTCTAGGAAATTCTCTTTCTTCAAAAAACTGGCAGAGCCACATGATTTTGTGAGGCCCTATCTTTTCAGGTGACATTGTCTCTTTCTTTTTATTACTCAAAGCTCTTATTTATTTTGCTATTCTTACTACTTGGGCTACAGATTCTCAACCAGTCATTTCTATACAGTGTCTTTCTTTTCATCACCTGAGATACAATTTGGAGTAAGGAAAAGAAAAGTGAGTGAAGAGACAAGATCTGCCTGAGCCTGGCATGAATGGAACAGGAAGGGAGTAGATTTATTTTAAATCAGCAATACCTAAGGGCTACTAGAAAAAAAATCTTTCCATGGCTTTCCCTACAGTATTTCCTAATTAAAATAGGTTCCTTTAATGGAGTTAATCACTGTCTGGGATGTACAATAAGGAGCTCACAGAGCAGTCACCTGTCTGTGGTGACAAACTAAGGAGCTGCGGCTCCTGTCCTCTTGTCTTCAGTGGGCATAATCTTTTTTGTGCCTGTTAATTGGAGCAGAGTTAGTTGGTGCTGCCAATCATTGTGCATTTCTGCCATTTGCTTTTGCTAATTGGACAGCTGCCTCTCACAGATGCTGACCTCTGTTCAGTTGCTTGCACCTCATTAACCTTTTCAAGACACTCACCAGCCCAGGGCCCTGGTCCAGAAATCCAGAACAGCTGGAGTATTTA